TATATATATATATATACGTAATTTTTTGGAATACCTGGAAATTAGTAAGTGGCGCATTATCATCAATCGGCGTATTCGGCATTACAAAAGCTTCCATTTCAAGTTTGCCATCGCTGGTTTCACCAACGATCACTTTGTAAAAATGTGTAGGCACTGCCACATGATTTGAGCCTATCACTTCATAATGCACATACTTTTTTCCATCTGCTTCTCTTCTATAAATAAAAAGTAACAGTGTTTAAATTTATTACAATACTTTTCAAAATTAAGTTTCGAATAAGACAAGCGAAGCTTAAGCTTTATAGTAAAAATAACAATAGTTTGGAAACATATTAGTGTCTCAGTGCCAAGCAAGCGCAGCATCATATATAATATGTGATAATAGAAAAATTGAATATTAATAAGATAAATAATAATAATATGAAAATAGACAAAATTTACAAAGTAAAAACTGGTAAACGCACTTAGGAAGATACAACGGTCCTGTACACACATAAACATCCTTATAAACATTTGTCAATTTTCGAACATATTTCTCCAGTCTGTTCCAGGAATCTCTGTTGAAGCCTTTTCCGATTTGTGGTGCCATATTAGTGAGGAAGAAGGTTTGTTCCATGTGTTTCTGATCCACTTTATGATTCCCAGCTGCTGCCAGATGACCACGATCATAGCCACTTCCTTTGTAGTCTGTATTTTGTGATCTGTTGGCATCAATCACAAAATTAAAACTCGGTCTCAATTGATTGACTTAATCTATTAAATTTAATTAATAAATTTTCAGATTTTTTTAAGAATAATCTAAAAATTAATAGTAAAAAAAAATTTATTTTCTTTACCTGAAAAAAGGATGTATACTCTCATCAGGCTTGAACTCACACTTTGAGCGATCTACTTCATTGTTGCACTGCAATCTCTCCTTGGTCAAGTGCTCAAATACCCAATGAGCAATTTTGTTTCGCCTGTCATAAGAGAGCACAAAATCCTCATACGACCTGACATGATCCAATCCGGGAAAACCAAATTTCATAATCTGCCGCAATATTACCAAGGTCTAATACGACTATTAGCATTTTTATAATAATGCTACAAATAATTGTAGCATTAAGCAATTTCTACATGTCATTAAGATACTTAATTCTTTTATTACTTGCAATGCCATCAAATTATATTTATTATTAGATCATTTATCATTACATAATAAATGATTTCAAAAATCAATTGCAAATTACGAAATTCTCTTTATTTGTCGCTACTATATAAATATATATGTATATATAACATATGTAATTAAATAAATCTGAAAGGTTAGTCCATCGTTCTTGATCTCGATTTTCACTCACTTGCGATACCCTTGTAGCAGTCGAAGACACTTTGGAGCCCATATCGTTGCTTCCAACAGGTGTCAAAGGGGTAGCCGCCGAAACGGTACCGAAAAGAGGCAAACACGGCAAATTTCGAAAGCGCACCGCTGACAACACATTCGTTTCATTGTCTTTCGAATATCGCCTTTGTTCGGAGAATTTGCCCAAACACCAGCCCCCCAAACCTACGCTCGTCAGAGCAGTTAAATTAAACACTATTCGTTTCATTCTATTTACATTACTCTTTGTTTCTCTCCCACGTGATTGCTAATTCCGTAATTATATAAACGTGTTCGACGCGAGAAATGAACAAAGTTAAGGACAGTTAGAAACTCACTACAGCAATGTCGGGTAAAGTTAGAACGAGCATGTGTTATCTTGCAATTATCTATATATATTATCTATATATATATGCATAATATCCTAAATATGCATGTGTGGTACTTTGATCTATTTTTTGTTATGAAAGAGAATTAATTCTGATGATGTAAATTTTCTATTAGTGGAATTTCTATTAGTGGAAAAATTCAATTAATTTATTTTGTCTTAAGAAAATTTATTAATTTATTGTAATTAATTTATTGTGAAAATTATAAATGAAAATTCGACGCGCACGCACTACACACACATACACATACACGCGCGCGTGCACAATTCATTAATTTCCAATCATTTACGGAAAATAAATAAGTCTGAAAAGTGGTAAATATAAAGCAATAACTTCTTACATACTCATATATTAGGCGGTATTTTATGTGTATAAAAATTCTTTATTTTTACAATGAGATTTTTACAATCAGAACATCTTATATATACAACATCAAGATCTACTTTGTAAACATGATTCTCTTGCACATCTATACTTTTATTACTTCAAATTATTCAGTTTCTTATGAAATTCCATATAACTAAACATATACTAACTATTTAAAAAAATAATTATTAATCAAGAGTAATGAGAGATTACACAAGTGAATCACTTAATATTAAAAGAACATTTTGAACAGGTTGAAAAGTTTTTATTTAAAACTCTAAAATTAAACGAAAATTTAATTTTCAATTAAAAAAAAGTGAACTGATTACTGATTTAAATAAAGAAAAATGTTATTCAAAATAATAAATAAATAATTTACTTTAAATATTGTCTTGGTTAATTGTCCAGAAAATCTGTTATGAAATTATATAATATTTTATTATGAGCAAATAAATTGTTCTTTTGTCATTATAAAAGTTCTCACAAAATAATATCAATCGCTGTTACTCTCATCGGAATCCTTTACCAAGATAGTGTCATGACCAGGTAACATTCGCGGATCAAAAGTATTCTGAAAGCATTTCTGAAACACTATTTTTGCCCTCTTGGCCACTTTACGCGGTGGCGACTGCGGTACATTATCGTCTAGGTCAAAACAAACTATTGTATCTTCTTTCTCCTTCTGATTTACTTTATCATCCGATGATTTTCTCTTTGTAATGCTAGAAAATACTGAATTTACTAACTTCCTTTGGTTCTCCGAAATTTTCCTACTAATCGCCGAAGATGTACTAGCAAGACTGCATGCGACAGAGTAACAATTTTGTATTGGCATATGTGAATTTTTTTCATAAGCGTTTATAGAATTATTAGCATTTGCGTTAACGATGCTCACAGGAGCATTCCTATTTTCGTTGTGTGTTTTGTCCGACTGAATTTTTTCTTTTACTAGCGTATTCTTGGACACATCACTAACAGTAGGTTTGATAGATTTTTTTATTCGACTCGAAGATACTTTATTAACACGATTGGATGTACTCCTCGAAGCATTCTTTTTTCGAATAGATTGCACTTGTCTACTGACAATCGATGTGTCTGACTGACTGTCACAGTCTGGACTTAGAGTTGATAATAGCATGTTCGTTTCAAAAGCTGGACTTTTCACCGTAAACAATATTGGTCTGAAAAAATGTTGCATTGAAAAATTAATAATTATCGAAATATAAAATGCTCACTTTTTATTATTGATATAGAGAAATAATACTTCAATATATTAATCTTTAACTTATTAAAGTATATATATCTACTTAATATTAAATAGCTTAAGAATTTGATGTATACCTTCCTGCTGTTCCAAAACTTGCAGTAATTGGAATGCCTACGCTCTCACTAAAAACGAGTAAAGCTTTAACTTCTTTTAAACAAAATGTGATACTTGTTTCATTGCCAAAAGTGTAACGATCAAATTCTCCGATACCAAAAGCCAGCTGGGTACGTGTAGTATTTACCATAACTGTAATACATGTAACTGTAGTATTAATTGACATTAATTAACAGTAATATATTAATTACTACATTAGTTTGCATTTATGCTAGAAGTGGAACACTTCTTACGTGATGCGTCATCTACATAGTTTCTAAATAATAATTTATGTGGCGTTATCTGGAGCGTTATTTCGATCAAATTTTGTGGAAAATTTTGCAGAGCCTCTGTAAATGTTCGAGCTCGTGACGTCAATTCATTGGACATACTAGCCTTAGTGTACGATGCCTATTTAATCCAAATCAATTCATTATCTAATACGATCAATAAAATCCAGATGAAAATTTGATCCTCAGATGTTTTCTTTTTTATGATATTAAAAAATTGTTACTCAATATTTAATTACTCAAATATTTAGAATATTTGAAAATACTTAATAAATAATTAATAGAATTAATCAAGTTTAAGTAGTTTCTAAACATTAAGTAGACTCTAAATCGTATCTGAGAATCAATTATAACAAGAAAAATGTTTTTAGTGTACTTGCAACTTTTCAGAATCCAAAATAGGCATCAGATGGGACATGTTGATACCATTTTTATATTTTAAGATAAATACTAAATTACAGGCATCCATCTCCAAATGAATGTGACAAGTTTCCACATGTTTGTCCAATGTATGTGCAGATTTGAAGACTGTCATTGCGCTCTGTAAATTGTAGAATAAGTTAAATATCATGTACATAAATGTATATGAAATAGATACTACCCTCATTGAAATTTTACACTTTTGTGCTTCTTCTTCATCGAGATTTCCAAGATCATAATAGGAGAAGAAATTTCTGTGAAACGTGAAGTTCGAATATGCCGATTTTGCCATGTTGACTGTGCGAAAAGAGATAGATTCCTCTTGAGGATTCACATACATTTCATCTCCAATCTTTGCTAGTGTATGTATTGCCTTTGCCAAAGCTACATCAATAAAAAATGCTAATTAAAAAACTCAGTACAAAAAAGCTTTAAGAAATTATATTTATCTGAATTTTTTCTAGTACTTATCAAATTTTTTAGAAGTTTTATGGCCCTATTCTGTAACTCTTAATGACTGCAATGATATCATTGCATTGTCGTTGCGCAGATTTTGTGTACAGTACAGCGCAACGATAATTTAATGATATCATTAGAGTCGTTAAGAATTACAGAACAAGCCTCTTATTTAGCTCTAACATTTAATACATTCTTTTGTAAATAATAATGTACAAAACAAATAAATATAAAAGATTAAATTAGTCATGTAATAGAAAATGTTGAATTAAATTGACGAATTTCATTTGCGCTATAAAACAGCAATTCTGATGTTTCCAATAAAAAATTAAGAGAATAATAAACATACTTTTGATGTTACCGCCAGGTATGACGCATCTCATGTTGAATATTTTTTATTCTATACGCGACTAAATTTGGAAAATATATATATATATGTATATATACATATAAAATATATACATATAAATTTTTCGATTTATAACAATTCTAACAAAACAATACACTGCTCATTCGAACTTTCACGCGCGGCCATAAACGCAATAATAATAAATTTGAAGACCATTCAGGTTGAAAGACTAAACTAGGTTATGTCATAGATAAAATAATATTTGAGATCTGCAACAGTGAATAAAATATAGCGCTTTGAATAAACTGAAAATATTCGGAATCGAGATAGTGCAATTTCCTTGTTGATTATTGAGATTTTTATTTTCACGATTTGAAATCTTATGAAATCAATTGCTATAATTACTATAATCAGAGAGAAATCAGAGTGGACATCTCGGCCATATATATAATCGGCTCTATATATATATATAATTATAATTTATAGTAATCCGTTTTTTTTTGTGGGTGAATGTATTTTTATTTACAAAGAAAAGAGGACCGTCGATGAAATTAATCAGCGAGAATGGTGGAGGAGCTTTTAGAATTCAAGTACTCATTTTTGGTTCCTCGAATTCTGTCATCACTTCAAAATTACCGCGACATAAACGTTTAAATGGTCGTATTTGGAATCTGCGCAGATTAGTACGAAATTCGTCTCTCGTGCCGAGTGCTGACTTCCGTCCATGTATGAATGCATGTATACTTCCGGTGTTATGTTTGACGTTTCAGCCTCTGACTGCCTCTTGTGCATTATATTATAGTAATTATTGATATCGTGAGATTACAAATATCGAAACATTTCAAAAGGAAATAATTACAAAAATCATGGTAAGTAACACATAAATAATCAATAAATATACTAAAAATTGAAAATTGTTTTAATAATCTAACCTTAAAGTAAATGTAGTATTGTAATTAATTTATAATTTCTTTCATGCATTAAACTCGTATTGTGTAATTAGAAAATCAGTTAAATTTTTTATTCTTTAATCATTTTCCACTTATAAATAATATTTTAACTTATTTCAATTTACCTCAATAATTTATAATTGTTAATTTTTATAAAGTTCTAACTTTAAAAAATATATAGATATTTTTTACTTAAAAAAAGACAATTTAATATTATACATACTAAAAATCTTTTATTTAAAAGTGATTACAGAAACAAATTTTTTTCAGCTTGTGTTGGTATTAGGAGATTTACACATTCCACATAGATGTAGTAGCCTCCCAAGTAAATTCAAGAAACTGCTAGTACCAGGAAGAATACAGCATATCTTATGCACTGGCAATCTTTGTACAAAAGAGTCCTATGATTATCTCAAGACATTAGCTAGTGATGTACATGTAGTCAGAGGAGATTTCGATGAGGTATATATTCATCCAACAGTTTTGTTTAATTATTTAAGCACAAGAACGAATGGAATAATATTAAAATGTAATCAAAACAATGATGTCTTCTACCAATGTAGATTAACTATAATCTCGGTTCAATTAACCAAGATTAAATTGAAAGATTAAAATTAAATTACATTGATAGAAATGGGTAATGGATTAATTAGATATGTCAAATAAAATTGAGAACAAGAAAAATAAAATTATTATTGATTAAGATAAGTTAAATTACAAAAAAACTGCATAATTATAAATATTATTTATGTGCAGAAGATCAAAGAAAAAAATTTTATTTGTTACAGAATCTAAATTATCCAGAACAGAAAGTAGTTACTGTAGGCCAGTTTAGAATAGGACTTTCCCATGGGCATCAAGTGGTTCCATGGGGTGATCCAGAATCTTTAGCTTTGATACAGAGACAATTAGATGTCGATATTCTCATATCCGGACACACACATAAATTTGAAGCCTATGAGCATGAAAATAAATTCTATATCAATCCTGGATCAGCTACTGGAGCTTACAATCCTCTAGATACGTAAGTTTCTTTTCAAAAAGATCTAAAAATGATATAAGAAAAAATATTAAAGTGTATTGAATAAAATATTTTTTGAGAATAAATATATTTTCAAAGATTCAATTCAAATATTCTATTTTTTTTATTACAAATCTATTTTTAAATTAATTATTTGATACAATATTTTAATCGTTAACGTATAAATTATTTTCTCTGAAAAACAGAGAATATCTTTACAATAATGATTAGTGTAAAAAGAAAATTCTATGGGAATTCTTTCTTAATAATAATTTGTTTTTAGGTCAGTTATACCATCATTTGTATTGATGGACATTCAAAGTTCAACGGTGGTTACGTATGTGTATCAATTGGTCGGAGACGAAGTTAAAGTGGAAAGAATTGAATATAAGAAAAGTTAGAACTATCGGAATTTCCAGAATGTATCTATTATAGATTATACCCCGAAATTTATTAAGAATGCAATTATGTGCATGAATATTCAACATTTGTCAAATACTTTTAATCTGTCTCGGATTAATCAATTAATTAATTATTTAAACGTAATTCGTATTTTTGTTGTAAATAAAATTATATCACTATTATATGTAAAATAAGTTCTCTCTGTAAAAGTAGATTGATGAACAAATCACTTTGAAAAAAGTTGCCCTTGATAATATCTATATAAAATTCTGTAAAATTATCCCCTACATAGCGTTTGATAGAAAGTTTAGTATTTAATTTCTTTATTTTCCTAGAAAGACAAAATAATTTTTTTTCTGCTTATGATAAATATATAACAGAAAAATAAAAACATACGTGTATTCTTATTAAAATAGTAATTCGGATAATTCAACATTCATTCATGGCAAAATTCTTGATTCATTCTCTCTCATAAATTTATAAATTAAAAATAAATAATTGCTCGTTATTTTATTATTTTCTGGATTTCCTTAGAAGTGTAAATCCTTCGCCAGTAAACGCCTTAAACTCGTCTGGATCCTTCGTCTAAAAAAATACAAATGATATTAATCACAATACAATCACATGTAATGCCGTGTGAAGTTGCCATAAAATAAAGTTACAGATTTGCATTACACGACAAAGTTCGAGACAAAATTTTATTTATAATTCTATATGTCGTAGAGAACTCCAATTAAAGTTCTTACCTCCTTATTATTCACTGGCTTCATATTTCGCAGGAACCTAAGAGTACCTATTTGGTAATCATAATCAGGTATTCCGCGAACATAAGTCGGCTTGGTAGTTACAGTTTCCTGCTTGGGCATGTCTTTGCGTTTTTTACCATCCAGCCGGACACCTTCACCCTGAAAAGGTACAAAGCCAGTCTGCGCCGGCATCAAATCAGCCAGATGCTCTATCTCATCGTCTTCCTTCTTTGGTTTTCGTACTGGCTCTTTATAGCCTACTGGTGGAGCAAACTCCACATTCATGTCACACTCAATGATACTAACTGCTGGACCAGGTCTGGTTTCTAGTACGCACATCTCGTAAATCTTCTGATTATATTTGATTGCAATCACATCGCCTGTAGTTAGACAGGCAAAGCTGCGCAGGCCATTCTCCAATACAGCCTTTGGATTTGTGATATCTAAGAAGTCCTCTGACTGTGGCTGAAAACGAGAGAATGTCGCAACTGGTAATGACACACTCTCTACATTCAGTAGCTCGCCTTCCTCCAGCAAAAGATTATGCATCATCTATG